AATTCTCTTAGAATCATATGCGAAAAATAGACAATTTATACTAATATCTTTATATATTCTAATTGATAAACGTATGATTTTAGTTTGTAATGTTGTTGATTTAAGAAGCTTTAAAAAATCCCGTCGTGAATATAAGGTGAATGAAGGGGTTAATGTGGTAATAGTCTTATTTTTCAGCTAAAATTTTATCTAGCTAAACATATCTGAACCCAAATCCAACAGGAGCCGCACTGAACTGATCTGAAGTTGTTCTATTTGTTCGACAAAATTTAGTGGAAGTCCATCAAACTGACCGTATTGCTCACCCTCACTTAGGGGGCGTTTGGTTCCTGTTTTTGGAGAGAGAAAGTAGGGGGAAAGCTACAAAAATGTCAGTTTTTTGTCAGCTTTTCTCCAAATTCGTCTCTTTAAGAGGCGATTTTAGGGGAAAGTTATCAAAAAGCTGACATTTTTAACGGTTTTCTCCTATTTTACAGCTATAAAAAATCAATCCAAACGACCCCTTACTGTAATAGACACGAGTTTTATTACGATCCAACCAGTACGCTAGATACTGGCGTTGTTAGTTTAAAGTCAGCAACGAGGTTATTATTGTCCTTTGCCTCCCCCCGGAAAAGGCCATTTCTTGTCTTTTTGCCGGTTTATTGACTCTGACAACGACGTGCCAAAAGGTCCGCTATCTAAAGCTTTATTCACGCATGATTGAAAAAAGACGAAAATGACATGAACTCCAAAATAGCTTTTTATCCGCTTTATCTCCCGCCAACCAAGAAATCGGCACCGTCCAACTAGATAAAAACTCCTCAACATAATCAAATCCTTAAGGTCACCAAAAATCACACCCACGTTTCCACCACTAGACGCGCCTATATAATAAAGCACCGAAGAATTAATACCAAAGAGCATGAACCAAAACCATGTTTACTAGCTCTTGGCTTTGAACTTTAGTATGTTTAAATTGAAATTTTGCAGTTGGTCATATAACTCATTATTACTAGTTTCTCCTTATTTACATGACAAGCATTGTGAAACTCTGTTTCTTGCAAAGAAAAAGAAAACTAGTACATGATATTATAATGGTTTTTTTTTCTTTTGACGCAAAAAAATAGGGGGACAAGTCTCTCGTTACCTTCCCACGTCCTGATAAAACTTAGGGCCTATTACTTTTTAAGTCTTGCTATTTCATTTTTTCTATTTATTTATTATTTATTTATTTATTTATTTATTTTGGAGTTGGGTCCCGAGAGAGGTTCAATTTGCAGGGGACAACAGGACGATAAATCATAACTATCCGAGAATTTTAGTGCAATGACAATCAGCAATAATATTAGCCAAACAGTGGAAACTGGTCCCCGCATCAGCTCTCACGCTCTCCCCCACCCCCCGTAATCAGATCGGTAGGTCCCACTCACATGACCTTCTGCCACATTCCAACCCCCCTCCTCAAAACCTCTCCGCCCTTCTCGACTCCCCTCCACCAATACAGATCCAACACGTCTCATCTAACCCCCCCCCCGCCCACCACCTCAGAGTACACGTGTCGGCTTCCGGACTCGGACAATGTTCATACTGTACACCGCGATCGCGGAGCAAAGAGCCGTGACGGCAGTGCAACCGTCAGCGCCGCCAATTCCGTACGAAAAGCTTCCTCGCCCGGGGTCGCGTCAAAGAAGGACGAGTGTGCGCATCATCTTTCTCCGGGGCCGGGCCGCGTAATTTAGCGAGCGTTGACGAGTCACGTTCCAGGACTTCGTCCCCTTGTTCCTTACCAAAATATGAATATGCCCTCCTCCTCCCAGAAGTAGTACGTCGTCTACCGAGGGTGATTTCGAGACTTGTCGTTCGGTCAGAAGGGGCATTAATCCGTTTTGATCGGCAGCAAGTTGATTATAGGCGCCGTGAAGTCTTGGGGCCCACGAACCGTAAATCAGAAACTCCAGAAATATATTTAATGGATACTTTTTCTGTAAACTGGGTCTCTACACCTCCATATTTAATAATTGCTAATTAATAACTAAAAGCGCTAAGGGCCCGTTTGTTTTCTTTTTTTTCTAACAGGAAACTCTGTCATAGTTCTGAAAATGTTAGAACTGTGACAGCTTTCAAGTAAAAACGCATTTAGTTCTGACATTTTTTAAAACTGTGGCAGAGTTTCCTGTTGAAAAAAAAGAAAAGAAACGGACCCTAACATTTTCAACGTGCAAGCCAATTTACTTGGCAGTGATCGACAGCACGAATCACTCATTAGCAATTGAACTAAAACTAGAGGAGGGATTAATTTGCAGAATTTGTGCTCAAACGCTCCGTGTTCTCGTTCTCGCTATCAAAAACTACTGAAGAGCCTCAAATCTCATTGGGTACTGAGATTAATTTGAATGTATACTTAAAGTTAGTCGATCTCAAAAGAAAAATAAAGAGAGAATCCCGGCCATTTTGGTTCTGTAAAAGCGCAAAAAGATTAAGCTTATCCTAACTGATCAGACCCATCGGAGGGGTGGATGTGCAAAACGCCCGTTAATTCTTTTGGCTCCTCGAAAGGCCAACCCCAAGTTCTGCAGCGGGCCCCACCGCGGCACGGGCACTGTGACAGCTGTCCCGTGGCAAATCAGCAAATTTCACCACTTTCTTAAAAATAGGTATTAATGAACTAATTTAAGTGGCGATAGATGCCTCCACGTCACCCCTCGACCCACGTCACCTAACTCCCCTAACCCTTCAAAGCTCAAACCCAACCCAACCCAATAGAATTATAGAAGGCGGGAATCAAAGCTTGCTAATAATAGAAGCCCAAGAGAAAAAAAAGAAGAAAGAAAAAAAAAACCAATTATAATGGCGACGAGAGAAGTCGAAGGCTTACTGGACTTACAGCTCGACGCTGGCGATCCTGCACGAGGCTCGCCGCCGTTGGTCTTGCTGCGGCGCGAGAAGCCGCTTCCTCTGCGGCACGTGCGACGCGCGAGTCCACCGTGCCGAACTCCACACGTTCGCGTGTGGGCTCTGCGAGGTCCTGCACAGCGCCCGCCGCCGTCCACTGCAGGGCCGGGACGCCGGGCCCCCCCCCCCCACCCCTCTGCCTCAAGTGCACGCCGATCTATCCACGCGGCCCAACCCCGCGGTCGCCACGAGCGCTTCCCGCCGTCCCGCCTTCTGTGCACGATCTCCTGCCGCCGTCAGACCCTCCGCCGCCGCCGCCGGCCGCGGTGTTCGGAAGACGACCGATCAGAGGGTGCCCACGTGGATGACTGGCGAACGCCTAAAGCGGCGGCGTCGTGCGGCGTTGGATCTGAATTTTTTCGCAGATGCGGATCCGTATCTGGATCTGTACTAACCGATATTTTTGGTGGCCGGCAGGGAAGCGGCGGTGGCTGGAGCGGCGACCGCCTCCGTCCGCCGGTGATGGAGGTTTCCGGCGGCGCGGTTGAGATCGATTCTCGCGCTCAGCGAAGGAGTCCATATAGCCTCCTAGCACGGGCAATCGATGAGCAACAGGGTAATTTACCCTGAAACTCCACCGAATTAATTTAACAAATTAGCGTTAGCATTGAGAATGCTAGAGCTGACTCTCTGCCTCTGTTATCCTCAGGTCTCGTATCGGAGGTCGCGAGTGGTCCCCGACGGGCGCCTCCGCGACCGCTGACGTGGTCGACTCCGTACGGACTCTCGGCGCAAACCGCGGCGCTCGGCGGCTGATAGAGAGGCTAGAGTGATGACGTACAGAGAAGAAGAGGATAGAACGAAGGTTCGAGAAGACGATCCGGTACGCTTCGAGCGAAAGGTACGCGGAGACTCGGCCGGGATCAAGGGTCGCTTCGCGAAAAGCGGGCGGAAATGATCCGGGTTCGATGCGATCAAAAGATCCTATTCACTTCCGCGCACTGTCGCGCCGGCTGCTGCTATTCATCTCGATATGGGTTATGGGATTGTACCGTCTTTCTGAGATCCGACCCGGTCTATTTTGGCGGGGAGATCCTCTTGTAAGTTGTGATATCGTGTTTCGGGAATATTTTTGCTACTCTTTTTTAAATTGTTGTATGTATATTAAGATGCTCCGGCTTTCTATATTTTGCAAAGAAAAGCCATACTTTTTTCTCGTCGCACCTTTTGTTTGGAAACTTGCGTGTTTGGATTATGGAAATGATATATTAAAATTTGGACAATCTTTCAAATGGAAATCCGCATGAAATGTTTTTACTTTGCAGAATGAATACCAGGCGGGATTTCTTGCAAATTCTGTCTTCTTTATTTATGAGGATATCGAAAAAGCACTACATTGCGACAGGGTGGGGGAAAAAAATGCAAACAATGCAAAAGAAAAAAGTTGGAAATTTTATCAATATTATGCAACCCGTTAAGGTCTTAATTTAGCAACCTCAACAGGATCATTGAAAATGGTGGGAAAAGAATCTCAATGTGTGTACAGTACCGGACGTAATATAATTATAGCAAATTAGAAAACAAGACCGTGTTAATTGGGGGGGTCTACCAAAACTCTCTGCAATAATAAGAAAACAAATTGATATCTCGAACAATAATGCGGTTTCGTAGGGTACTGTAGACCTAATCGTATTGCGATTTGGTCTCTCATTGGTTATTGAAGATGCTGTCCGTACAGCAATATGGAGTTATTAATCGCGCATTGCCGTCTTAGCTCAGTGGTAGAGCGCGTGACTTTTAATCCCGTGGTCGTGGGTTCGATCCCCACAGACGGCGCACGTTTTATTTATTTAAAATCTTCTAATTCCGTTTCTAAAAATAGTTTTCATCTTACCCTATGAAAAGCAATAGTCCGTAACCTTGATCGCTTTACACTTCACAGATATTCTTATATAACGAATACCTTTTACTAGTTGTATTTTTTTTCAACAAATGATATGTAATTATATGATGCAAGTTAAACATTATATATATATTTTGCTAAGCCTAAGAGGACATGAAACTGGGACCTTATAATTAATAGCACTATCCTACACCTCTACAACTGATTCGAAGAGAAATAATAATATAGTTAAACATACACAGAACCTTAATTTCTTTCTTTCAGCGAGTTGCTATTTTTACACATGATACTCTCGGGCCACTTGTTTTGATACTGCTAATATATACATGATCAAATAAATGAATTGGGAGAGGATACAAATCAATCAGGTACCATAATGACATTTATACACAGCACTTGTATTGATGGAAAAAAAAAGGACATGGTATGCTAGAAATTGCTTGCAACTGAACAACAGGGGGAGGCTTTCTTGAAAGAAGATCACTCTCCATCTATCATGGCTGATTGACTTGGCACCCTCACAATCTCCACGAAAGTTGAATACTCGTCGTTTAACGGTTGTTTCCATGGCTCCCCATCCATTTGCAGGAAAGCTTCATTCCACTCGCCTCCTCTGATTTCCAACCTAATTGCTACGGCCTGAAATACACCAGCAAGAATGATCAACATTTTCTTCAAAGGGTATTCCAATGCAAGGCATTGTTTTCTACCATAGGCTCTCAAAAAAATTTTTTTCCGTGCATTGAGGGACAGGGTGACGCATAGCTTACTTCAAGTGTGAGATGGCCTATGCTTTAGAAACATCATCGAGTGTCGACCATGAAAGTGGAGATTATATGAAAAATTGGTCTTTCGCTCATTATGGTATTCCATGTTTCATTCATGAAATCCTTTCATTAGAGTAGGTGTTTCTAACAGACACTACTTTAGTCCCTGTTTCATTCGTGAAATCCTTTCATTAAAATTGATGTTTCTGACAGACATTTAAAAGATGAATGGTATCTTAAAATTTGACAAATCCACCTGCACTCATGAATTTCATCGACTGCATTACAAAACTTTTAAACGCTTTCTCGAGATTTATGGAGGTACCTGGGCTATGTGTTTCGCATTTATGAGTTCAGCCATTACAAAAGTTGCATGCCACCCTTGCTTAAGACCGAAGATCTCAATCAGACCATCATCGGAATGGGCCTCTGTAAAGCCTCTCTGTCAAAGTCAAGGAAAAACTGCTTGTGAAGACCTATACAAGAACTGTACATATATTGCAAAAATGATTAGAATGAAAAAACTATTTATCTGGTCACAAGTTTTTAGATATAAAGATCCCTAAAAGCTTTTTTCAGCCATATATAAGAAGTAACCTACAAAAGAGAAGAAAGGATAGGAAGGTAGCTATTGGGAGATTGAGATCAAAATGCGAGTTATATCATACCATAGACAATATCTTCTCGATTTTTTGTTCCATATGAAAAAAATGCAAACCTTTTCCATATATTCAGGTTTGAGTTGACCCCAGGGGTTCCTCCCACTTCCATAATTCTGAAGATTTAATGCAACCACGGCTCTGATGCTGCAATAAGAATCTCTATTCATAAGGCTAAAAAAGAAAAAAGGGATTTATCTGCACATTGACACTCATAGTATTTATAGAGGCTATTAAATTACCATTTCATTCATTAAAGATAATGAAAATACAGTTCAAAACCATCCAAATGAAACACACTAAAAATAATCAGCATTCAAGTTAAAAATTAGGATGACAAGGTTAAGAGCTTGCCTTGAAGGAACTGGAAGAAACTCCCAATCCGAGCTATCATTTCTTCTGATATATATCCGCAGAATGTTTTTGAGTCCCCTGCATTATGAAATTCTAACTTTAAAATATATAAAACTATCACTTGAAATGGTTTACTGAGAAATCACACCAGTACCTAGATATTAACAGGCATTACATAGGAGGATTTATGTTGTCAATTTCTTAATAAAAATGGGTTTATTAACATTTAAGTAAAAAAAGTGTAGTAAACTTATTTGCATAGGCGTACAATGGTTGACATAAAAATTCACATGGGCTTATTGTCCAACTTTTTCCGTTGGTTTATTCAGATGTGTGATGGATCAAGGGGGTAGAAGAATAGTGTAAGGATACTCCAGTATGTTCACAGAACCCAATTATTTGGCTCGACACACCAACGTAAGGCACTGATTGTCAAAAGATGATTATCTCCTATGCTGGTCAGGTCTAGAAGACGGTCTCCACTACGAATGACCATCTTCTCTCATTATTCTGTATCATGTTTTCCTAACTTTTTTCAAGTTGCAGCATCAAGCACGATCATGCAATAGAAAGAGTGCGACAAGACAACGTTTTACAACACTGTTCCTTTGTGGCTACTAAAAGTTTGGAAGTGTTTGCATAATTAGAATCTGATTCTAACAGATCATAATGTGCTTATAATCATTGGTAAAAGCCAAACAAACTATTTTGCTTAGCATCAGAGGTCGAAGGATGGTTGGTTCTGCCACTTCATCAAAGAACTTATGATGTTCAGCCGCATAGTTCCTATGAAGGATTGATTAAACCTGGACACATAAACTAAATTTCATATCTTCCGAATCACCTTTACAGCTTTTTATATATAACATATAGAAAAAAAAATTCCACAGTGAGATGCTGAAGTTGTTCCTCCTTGCTCTGTATTTAATGATAAACATGCAAATACTTTGACATACAGGAAGAAAGAAAAATAGTCAGCAACAAAAAATAAAGGTGCCAAACCTTAGACTCGGATCACTCATGCAAGGTACAAGGAACCATCCTTGTGTGCAACTATATCCAGTATAAATCAACTGCCATAAGAGAACATATGATTGCATCAGATCCATGTGGTGTCATCAAAGACTGAAAAAAATAGTTATTAAAAAAATCAATTGATAGAAATGAATAAACTTGAAATAGCACTAGATATTGCCTTAAATAAGATAATCAGGGATGAAGGATTATTAACATCAAACCAAATAACCAATATATTGAAATAAGGCAAGATGGTTTTATCCTAATACCAACTGCAGACAGCATGTTTATCCTAATACCAACTGCAGACAGCATGTTTTGACTTGCCTGAAGTAGAAATTTGTGTATGCTAAAATATCCAGCTTAGCTGCTTGGAGGAATAATTTCCCAATAAAAAGAAATAGCACTTTCAAGCAGTCATAAGTGAGAAATTGGGTACCATAAAGAACATCTAATGTTCAAAAAGTAATAAAAAAAACAATAACAAATAACAAATAACAAAAAGAACTTGAAGTTGTATACAAAAGGCAATAACAAGATGTCAAGAACACTAAAAAGGTACACCATATGTTTCAGAATGTTTAGGATTAATTTAATTTCTGTGAGTATTACTTTCTGTAAGTGTATAATTGGGCAGATGGCATCATGGCAGGATAATAAAGTGAAAAACAAGTGAGAAATTATACCTTGTTTGCTATCGCATTTTGTGCAAGGTGTGGCTTTTCATCACGTAGTTGATGGAAGCCATAAGCAACTTGGGCATCCATCCCTTCATATCAATAATAACTTGTAATATAGATGTGAATAGATAATAATGAAATGCAGTGGTAATAGTATGATAATAAGAAGTTCACCCATAGAGATGTGTATCGGACACATCTATGAGGATGCGCTACTTGGGCAGTTGGGCAGGACACATTAGATGGGGAACTTATCAGACATTCTAGCTGGCAATATAACGGTTACCTCAATTTTATATTATCTCATTTTGGAGACTTGTTTGCTATGCATGATGCTGCTTAAGTAACATGCTACATGTAGTGAAAAGATTAACAGGTTGGGATTATCCAGTGATGATTTTAAATGAAAACCATGAACATCATCAACAACGCAGATAAATTTTTTTTAAGGGGTCTTTGCATATATAGTATATACCCATCAAATCTTCTGTGTTTGTGAAATTACCCCCAATCTTAGCATTTGTGAAATTACTCCCTAAAACTAGCATGGTCTTTCTACCCCTCCAACTTAACAATGTTGGTTTCCAAACATGGCAATGTCAAAATTTCCAATGATTTCCATTATATATGCAACAATTTACTGCTTAAAACCTAAAATATTAAGTGGAAGGGGTACAAAAAATCAATGTGAGAGAATTGGGGGGTAATTTGCAAATATTACATGAATCCATTCAAAAAACACCCAAGTCTAATTGTGCATATGTGTGCACGTGTATTACCACGCGAGTGGATTTACCTACCTGAAATGCAAAAAGGAAAAAAAGAAAAAAAAACATTGGTGGTGCTTAAATTATCAATAAAATATCAATATATCATGCTTACTAAGAGATAATGCCATGCAAATGTTCTGGGACATGAACCTAAACGCTACATTACACATCTATGCATATTTAGCATGGAAGAAAGTGAAGATTGTGAAGGATATGGTACATAGGAAAAATCAAGTAAAATCCTTACCTATGCTGAAGTAGTTGTAAAATACTCCTTCAAAGCACGATCTTTCAACTAACTCTCCTCCAACAGTAGCCCCATCCTATAAACATCATAGAAATAGAACTTGTTTCATTAAAAAGAAATAAAGTAGAACTTAAAACATGAATCAAACAGCATTCTAGGCTCTGTACATGTAAAAACTCTGAGGTATGGTTTCAAGCAGAAGTAATGATATAAATGATTTTCAAAAACTAAAACAACGATTGATTTCATTCATTTCTTACTAAACAGAGTTCATAATATTGGAGATATTTAGTCTTAATTCATAAAACAGGGGGAAAACTTGGAAGTATACAGTAGAATAATGAAACCAAAATAAAAGTGAACTTCAACCTGAACAAAAGGGCATTGATCCATGCGCCTCAGAGCGTGTGGCAATTCTAAAGTTTCTCCATCTGGCGTTGAAACCGTCACATGCCAACTGCAATGAGAAATGTGTTTTCATAAAGCATTGGTTGGATTTTTGCATAATAAAGCACTTGAAAATACTGGACAGGCAGAAAAAGTCAGCTGCTCATATCTATCCTTTGAAGTCAGGAAATGCCAGTTGACACAAACTTCATCTAGAGTGAGTAATATGATTTTTCAGCTTTTTTATAGAAGAATGAATAATGGAAATTAACCCTATTTTTCGCATATATGAAATGCAGAACCTTAGTTATGGGCACAACCAATAACAAGTTGACAGGTACAAAATAAGTAAACTATAACTGTTGTAGTTTCTTTGTTGTATAAACGATTGGATCTCATTTTGGTCCTCAAAAGCTTTTACAAACCCTATCTATCTAATTTCAGGTCAACAAAGGACTGGATTGAGTTTGATCCTATGCACCAAACCATACCAATAATTTGCAAGGGTTTGGATCTGCATCCTATCTTACAGACTTACACAGAGCCCATGTCCACTAACCTTGGACTTAGTCAGGTTCAGAAAATCCCGTTGTCGAAGTAGTTACCATGACTTACCATGTAGTGTACAAGGGATGAACTAATTGATAAATCCTGATCAGGCAGACTATTCTGAGAAATGGTTACAAGATAACAATCATTAACCACTCTAACAAAAGAATATACATACATGCTTTCTTTATGATGAGCAAAAGCAAGCCCTTAACAATTATGGTAGGTATCTGATCTAGGTTGAAACGACATAGCTCAAGATCTTCAGCATGGTTTTAGGGATAAGCATTTATAATTATTTTTAAAAATTCATATCGCAGGATATTTGTTCTTAAAGAGAATACTCTTACCTATCAAGATGAGAGGTTGTACCAGTAGCAGCCCTAAGAAGAACACGCTTAATAATTGATTTCCACGCAAAAGGAAAAGAACCACCCTACACAAATTGCAGTGAACTGTGAAAATAAATGTCACCTAGATGGTGTGGTAAGAAATATTAAACTGAAGATCGCAATTCCTTACCCAACCAAAGGTTCTAGAAAGATCATTGCCTGTTCCAAGAGGAATGATGCCAGTTGGAGGAACTGGCAGTCTATTCTGCAAATGAAGCTCCCCAGCACTTCCCAACACCCACCCCACTGTACCATCACCACCAGCAACCTGGTAAACAAAAAACAGTGCACGTATTTCAATAAACCTAGTGCCCATACAAACAAAAATCATATGTGAACATAAAAGAAGCACAAATATACAGCCAGCAACTTGTTGCATCAAAGTCTTTCATGTGTTTGTATTATGATTAACATGCCCTTAGTATAGATGTGAACAGCAAAAATGCATGATTTTCAGGTGGAAGAAATTAGTTATCACGCCTTTTCGTTTTGCTAATAAATAATAGTATCGTACTGCTGACAGAAGAAAGAGAACTAAATCAGTTGAAAACTCAAACCAACGTACCATAATCCTCAAACTTTCACGAACAGACTTGGCACAATCATCACCAAGGGAAGCCAGGTTCTCCAAGCAAGCCAAGCCATACTGAAAAAAGTCAGGAGGCTTTGTAACTGTGAGATCCAGGACCTGCACTTAGGAAAATATAAAACAACTTATTTCTTAAATCACATACAGTAAAATATATTGTAAAAAGAATTATAAATATAGCCACATGTGAAAGCAAGCGAAGACAAGGCAATCTAAATTCCTGTTCAGGACCAAAAGGTTATCAATAAATCTACTAAGACCAACATGGCAAGAGAAGAAGGTCCAAACTTTCTCTCACTCCTCAATAAAGTAACCTTCTCCATCACACTCCTTGAAGTACTTCATACCCTTGAATATTAGAAAGTTGGTTAAATTTTCACTGACCAGTTTTCAAGGAACCTAAATTTCCTAACGTCATTTGTATGCATAATCTTTCGTAACAGCAACCAACGACATAATTGATTAGACATAAACATCCCTTGTAGCAACACGATTCACAACGAACAAATTGGTTTTAAGATTAGGATTGGGATTTAACGACCTATTCCACTCCAATGAAACCAGCCAATTCAAAGAACCTACGTTCAAAGAACAAGGTGAGAAAGGAGCTTCAGGTTAGGGTTTCAAAAGAACCCACGCCATAACTCTCTCATAAAAACCCAACACACGACAAAGAGAGAGGGAATGTAGGGTTAGGGTTTTGAATCCTACATAATATCTCTTAGCAAAACAACGTACAGCGACGAGGTAGTTTTTAGGGTTAAAAGAACTTGTAAGTTCCACTCGCCGATGCAATCTACACTAGGAGTTTTAGGCTAGGACTTCAAACGATCAAATTTACGCCTCATTCTTCAGTAAAAAAAAAACAATTCATCACAAATAAAGAGGGAACTCAGGACTAGGGTTCGATGATGACCTGTTCCTCTCCCATGAATTCAAGAAGCTTGGCCTTGAGAGCGGTCCCCTGCCTCCCCCCGCTCCTCGGATTGATAAAAACCACCATCGGAACCTCAGGGATCTCCTCATCCTCATCCCCTTCCCCCTTCTCGAGACCCTCGACGCTCGGATCCTTATTCTCCATCGCCGCCGCCATCGCCCTCCTCAGCCTCGCCGGAATCACGATCTTCCGCTTCAACTCCTCCTTATCAACGTGGATGATCGGAATCCCGCAGCCTTTCA